TAGGAAGAAATGGAAGTGTGTGTTCAATAGATCTTTGAACTGTCGAACCTACGATGAAGTCACTAAGGAAAAGGAGATACAGGATGGTGGGGCACCTTCGGTGACATGATAAGCCTGAAAGAGACATACCAAAAGCAGAAGCATGACTGAAGGGAAGCAGAGAAAGAACTACTTAAGATTATTGTTCACAAATACCTAAGGATTTCGGGATGTCGAATGCTGTAGTTTTATGGAAATGGAAAGATTCGTCTAGAATAGGAAGAAATGGAGGTGTGTGTCCAACAGATCTTTGGACTGATCATCCTACGATGAAGTCACTAAGGAAAAGGAGATACAGGATGGTGGGGCACCTTCGGGAACATGATAGATCTGAAAGAGACGTACCAGATGCAGAAGCATGAATGAAAAGGAACCGAGAAAGAGCTACTTTAGATTACTGTTCACAAATACTTGGGGATTTCGGGATGTCGAATGCTGTAGTTTTATGGAAATACAAAGATTAGTCTAGAATAGGAAGAAATGGAGGTGTGTGTCCAACAGATCTTTGGACTGTCGATACTACGATGAAGTCACTAAGGAAAAGTAGATATGGAATGGTAGAACATTTTCGGTGAAATGAAGGTTGTAAGGAAAAGGAGATACAAGATGGTAGATCACCTTCAGTGTCATGACAGGCCTGTCAGAAACATACCAGAAGTAGGGGTGAAGTGGGAGAGAAGAAGACCTACATAATATTACAGTTCACAAATACTTAGGGATAGCGGATGTTGTGGTATTATGGAAATGGCTCAGTATACTAAGGGGGGGTGGTGCGTGTTCAGCCATTGTTTGTTAATCTTTGAATAATGTGAGAGTTTGTTGTGTATTGAATTTTAAAGTGACCATTTAAATGCTTCCTTGTATATACTTCTACGTTCATTGTGAGTATAAAACGTAGAGGTAATGTTGAATAACGCCGATAAATTTATAAGGTAATATGTTAAATATTGCACGTAAACAACAATCACACTTGCCCGAGGATCTTGCCCGAGAATTTATTGCGACAGTAAAGGGCGTATTATAAGTTCGCCGTATTCCCGCGGGCGAATTTTCCCGCACCTGCAATACAAGTGAGACGTAAGTCGAACGCTTTAGTAGAGGAAATAACGCCGTCGGCTGAAAATTAAAAATTTACATTTTTCTAAGGACCTCTCGTCGGCTCAAGAAGAATAAGACAATGTTTATGAATAATACATGAAGAACAAGGGACTGTTTCCGCCTTCATATGCTAACGATGTTCCGATTTGGATATGATTAAGACATTTTCGGGCTTTTGTTTTTGTGTTGAAAAATTTTGCATAATGTATGCAGAACTCGTGTTTAAATTGCCCGTGTTGTCGAGCTACAAGCTCGTCGACGATTCGACTCCATCTACATATAATAAGGTTTTACGAAAATTTCAACAGTCAAGAAGGAGACGGATGGATCCGCGGAGGCAGAAAAATCGATAGTAGTATTTTATTATTAAAGACGTAAGTGAGCGACTGCAGTGATTCTGATATTAGATGACACTACTCAGCATACTGCATTTTTTATTAGATAAAAATCACTCTATAAGAATTTCCCTGTTTTCAATTGTTTACACAGATAAACCAAGTACATTATTGGAACGTAATATTCTAAAATTCTATTCTATTCTAAAAAATCTACATGTCATCAAAGTGAGTTTCTTGTTTTTGTGAAAATGAATAGATAAAGATCGATGCTAATTCGTGAGGATATTGATTCTTGTAATCCCATATTAACGAACAACAATCAGATGAAAATTTATTGTTTTGTTAAATTTAAATACAGTGGATTTCATTTATTACGAACTTGGTTACAGCGACCATTGTGCTATAGCGACGTCATATGTAAGTCCCTTGAATTTAAAGCATGCTTTAGTATAAAATTCATGTGGCTGTAGCGACTTCGGATGTAACGCCGAGTTTGGGTGTAGCGACCGTTTTTAATTTAATCATTTGTAACAAATTCCTAATAATCTCATGCAGATATAGCGTCCGGAGTCGGCCGCTAAAGACACAAAGAGCTTTCTTATCTTTTGTTTACATTCACACAAATAGTCAATAAGTGTGATGACCTTTACCCCTGTTTCTAAGTAGCAACTGTGTTTATTAAACTTTTGAATAAGTGTGACTTCCAGATGTACATTTACTGTTAAAAAAAGGCGAAAATTGTTTCGAAATTGAAAAATAGTGTGTATCGGTATCTTCTTTAACTTTGCCTGTAACGACTTCTGGATATAACGACGAAATTACAGTGGTCCATTCGTTGTCGTTATGCCCGTAATCCTCTGTATCTCAAAAATTTTTCATTTCACTGGATTTTGAGATTCGAAAAACAATGAGATTTTTCTGAACATTCTCGTTATATCCTAGACAAAAATTTTCAGTCGCTCTCCAGTCTCTCAGAGTCTTTCAGCGTCTCTGAGAGCGTCTCTCACAGTCTCTAAGTTATTGCCTGGGTGTTTTTATGGATCTCTCACAGTCTCAGTATGAGAGACTCGAACGATAAAATTGTTAATTCAGAGATTCGAGTCCCTCACAAAGAGACTGAATGAATTAAACTAAAAAATTGAGAGACTCCAGTCTCTCGTAGAAAGACTGAGATCTCTGAAATATGTTAACTTAACCATGTCTATCGAGACACCACTTATTGAGAGAGTCGAGTCTTCGTTCAGAGACGCTAAACAGTTTTTTTAACAGTCTCTCCCAGCGACACCAGAGAGACTCGATGAGAGACGGAGACTCGAGTCTCGCTTTCAGAGTCTCTGAGAGACGGAACATTTTTATCTCAGGTACATATGATTAAAAGATATTCAACGACAAAATATCTTCTAAAAATCTTCAGATTCTTTCCTTTCTAAAAATACTCGGTTCAAAAGGAAACCACCCCAATTGCTTGCTATTTTTTAAAATTCTTAAGATTTTATATGGATATTGTATTTCATAAGCTTCAAAAGCATTTCGCAAATAGCGCCGCTGATATTAGAATGCAAAGGCAGCTGAACGCATAAATTTAAATAATAAAATGCAAAGCCTTCCTCTTCGTAATAACTTTTGGTTTACAACACAACAAAATTAAAAACATAAAACTGACAACTTCTGTAACGGCCAATATTATTCAATACCTCACCACAAACATCATTCGACGAACGATTATGACGGATTTTGTTGTAAAATGATGAAAACACAATTTTGAAATTGAACAATCGAATTCATTAAACATAACCGGACGTCAGTTATTTTTAGTGGAAGTAACATTAATAAAACTGCAATTTTTAATGAGCGAACATTATCATGTAAACGATGATATTACCAACGAGTTCCATATTGTTGCAAATCGCGTACCCCACATTAAAGGATAAATTTGCGGTGATAAATATCGTCAAATGTGCAATATTGACCAACATTGATTGGATTATTGTCAAATAATGAAAGAATTGTTGCACCAATAGATATATCCAAACACAAAACTGATTACAATTTTAAATGGTAGTGGGCATGGTTCCACAATGATGATACTACAGCATTTTACATTGTTTTATTAATTAAGAACAATTGTACAAGATTATGTGACTGTATAATATTGTAATGTGGAAGTGGAAAGACAATGGTATACCGTATTGATGGAATTAATCGAAATTGATCAAACCAAAGTATATATATAATACTTAGAGTAGAATCAAAAACATGACAACAGATGTTGACGTCATTGAAATCCGTCATTGTATACAAATCCTAGGAAATGTATATGATTTCTAAAATCGCCCGGAAATGTGTGAAATACATTATATTAGACGCATTTCCTAGGAAATCTATACATTTCTTAAATTGCAATCGGCAATGTATTACAGGCAATTGTAATGAAATGTATAAAATGTAAACATTTCTCAGGATATGAGTGTATTAAAAAATCTTTGAAACAATATTTTATACATTTCCTAAATAGCCTCGGAATTGTAAACAATTCCTAAATTTCTTACATTTCCGGCAACATAAACCTACATTAACTAAAGTTATACACACGTAATATGTAATGGATATCTGTAATCGTTAATCAACAAAATAAACGTTTATAAAAATATAAAGCACTAACAGTACGTGCTCATTAGATCATTAAAAACTTAAGACAGATAGGAATGAAATCCGAAAGTATTGTTTGCTAGCTTATATCCGAAGCTTCGCGCTTGTTGATGTCCTAAATACGTGTTAAAGACCATCAAAAACAATAATTTGATAAATTTGTTCTGACCAGGATCATCAGGATAATGCCAAAGTTTCTAATTTTCTAGGTCCTTTATCGAGATTAAAGGACTTTTTTATATCCCTATTCTGGATAAAAGGTGCCCTATGTCCTTTTCTGCATCCCTGACAATTTGTGTACAAAATTTTATGACAAACGCTTCAGTATTTAGAGCGTGAAATTGTAATAAACAAATTTATAATATTAGTTACAAAACAGGCAGGGATGGAATATTATTTGTCAACGAAATCGGAAGTTATTGTTTATCACCTAATATTTTTTTATGTTTTGCATAATAGTCTTCTTTCTTAGTCCTTATACAATTATTAAGTCAGGTAAATCCTCGTCACTCTTCTACCAACTCTATCTTATGAAGGTATACTCATTATCAACGGTTCAAAATTTTCAAAACGCATAACAGCAAACCATATACCTATCTAATTTAAATACACAAATGATACATCTCTCCGACTAATACCGACTTCGGAAGTACTAAATATATATACTGCCAATTTAAAGCAATAGTCCACAACAACGGCGAAAAATCGATTTTTAAGACATTGAGCATTAATTTCCATTAATGAAATTTATTTTGTTCACGGTATACAGAGGTCTAGTATAATATATGCTAGGTTTCCATAATGTGTAATTGACACTATTGAGATTCTACTGTACGAATCGTTGAAGAGAAGAATATGTATTACAAAAAGACTTACCAGTCAGAAGATTCAGCAAAATAAATACATGCAGATTGCATTTCTTCCTGGCAGTGATGTCAACGACCATATTTGTGTAGTGATTTTTCATTTGAAGTACACCAAACCAGAAGGAGATGTCATCATATTGAACGCACACTTTTTTAGTTGTTGATTTCGTTCACTATAGATACGTATTGGAACCTGCAATTTAGGGAAGGACAAACTTATAGATAATGTCCAAATCGTCCGATAAAATAGTTAAGAACTGTTATTATATTGTAGCTATCTTTGGTCCACTATTTCAAAAGGATATTAGGAACAAATGAGGATTTTTAAATATTTAAAACCGAGTAGGACCCTTAACTTAAAATTTTCGTTACGGAGGAAGAACCTTGACCAAGGAATAATTGAAATAACAACCTCGTCCAATTTTATTGTCGACAGAATTAATTTATTGTACTCTCACTGTGAAACATGATTAATGTTCTCGTCCATCAATAAAAAAAGAGTCAAAACTGATAAGTTTGAAAAACAAAATACATAAAACAATCCCAGCGTATTTATTTATAATTAATTATCAAAATTACTTTACTGTTATTTATGTGTAAACCAAGAACAAAAAAACAAGGAAAAGGGCAGAATTCAAAACTTCGACTATGTATAACACAACATTTGATTGATTACCGGAAAACACGTAAGAATTCAGGAAAAAGTAATTATGTTAATGCATCAACAAAAACCATGTTGCTTTTTTAGAAAAATTGATTAAAAGTAAAAAGCCTTTTAACTGATATTGTACACAGGTATAAGACATTTTTTTATTCGAAGTTAAAAAGTGCTATAAAAAGATTTTAAAATGAATGACATTTGGAAATTTAAAGATGCTCGAGCTCATTGATTGAAAATTTCGAAATACGAGATAGAGCACAGTCAGAACTTCTTCTTATACCATTGATGAATTTCGAAGCTATAAAAATAAATAATGTAAAAGTTGTAACTGCTATAGGTAGATATAAATCTTTTATGTTCGGCGTCTTTAAGTGGAAAGTTTTTTAAAGGCAGGTTTGTTAGTCATTAATTCATTTTTTTCGCATTGTGACGAATGAAAAATATTCCTTTATATAACTGGTGCTCTTCATTGTTTAAATATAAATTATTACTTTATTAATTTATATAACTCTGCAACATTTTACATCTTAAGAATGTAACAAATCTATCTTTCTATTAGCTTTTATTCTACATGAATAAATAAGCCATTTATCGAAATATGCAATTTTGGTTTTGTAAAGAGAAAAATTATTATTATTGCAGACAATTGTTGTTTTATCGGTCCACTGAAGTTATCCAATTGGAATAGCAACAATGCTCTTGAATATACTCCAGGCTATTTAACCAAAATAGTGTATAAGGGAAAATGGATAATTTGATCTTTCACATCGTATGTTTATATGATGCGTTTCAAAAGAAACAATGGAATGGGAGATAGTTGAAAACATAACATTAAATAAAAAAAGGAAGAGCAAATAGAACCATAAAACATGATAAAGTGGAATAATAAAGGATATAGATACGCAAATGTTTTTTTTGAAACAATAGAAAATCGGTCTCAATTAGACTGCAATTGAACGAGGATGTTTTGTTTTATTGTAACCCATAATGTTTAAAGTATCTTTAAGTTTCTAAGGATTTCCAATAATTTAATTGAGGACCAAAAGAAAGCTCTAACACAGCAAGGATAATTCCATATGACCCACCTCACTATTCACTTTTCTTTATTCAATGGCATTCCCCCGTACAACCGTCAAACGCGAGCAATCATAAATCATCGCCGTTGCAAACTGTTTTTTTCTTATCAAGCCACGACGCTAGTGGTGTAATAATGATCACATACGTGCATGGGTCTAGACCAAGAGCGTCACGAACGCGGAAAACCAAGCGAGCGGGACACCGCGACCGTCAATTTTCTTCGCAGGTGGGAGTAGCGGTAGAGCAGGAAAATCGTCGCGGACGTTACTACCGCTCGCTCTTTCGGCCGCTAGTTTACCGGACGGACGCAGGAGCGACTAAAATTTCAGCAAGGCGCCGTTATCCTTTAGTTGTTACCAGTACGAACGTACGCGGTGCTACTGGCGCGAGCGGCGGCAAATTCGAGCAGCGTCGCCGCGCGTCGCACGGGGTACGCCAGCTACTCACTCGCCACTCCCACTCTCACTGTCATCGTCAGAATAGTAAGCGAAATCGCCTCAATTGCCTCCTCAATATTGCCTGCTTCTACTTATACTTTAACCACCAATATTTGTATTAAATATGGATTAGAATGATGAACAGATGAACACTTTTACACTTAGTTGATTCCATAAATATTCAATTCTAGCTACACCATTTTCAAAAGAAATATACGAAATACTGTAAAATGTTTGTTATTTTTCTAATTAATGTTTAGTGTAATTGACATGTTTTATCAAGTGCATAATTAGGTAATTTTAGAAAAACTGCGTCGAAATGTCATCCGATGCGCGGTAAACGCCATCTGTAATACGATGCTACATACATCCTAAAATGTAGCAAACGCGCTGTTAAGACAGCAGGTAAAAGTTGGTCTGTGTTCTGTCGGAGCTGCCTGCGACGCGCTGATGAGATCCAAAAAGATCGAAATCGCGATCCGCGTCTGGCAGTTTCGGCAGAATACAGACCACTTCGAATTATTTTATTGTTTTGCTTGTTTATATCTTGGAAAGAATTACCCAATCTACATTCGTAGGATACGCCACTGAGTACAGAGGACACAATGCAGCTGAAATAATGGCTAACATTGGATCTTCCCTTTTGTGTTAGCTGAAAGACATTTTTCTGTGGCCGTCCGCTGAGCAATGAACAGAAAACAATAACGGGCTTTTTACCAGATTGCCTGCTACTCACATATAAACATTAGTTGTAAAGGAATGGCAGCACTGTCGCATGTTTACAATTTCAAAAGAGCCACCACGTTCATTATTTTTGCATGACAATAAAACGTGAAGTTGATATACCTTTGCCAATCGTACTTTAAACCTTTGTGGTTTTCCTGGTAGTAATACAAGTAATATCGTACAAACGTGTGACATATTTTTATGTTCTTATAATATATATATGTATTTCTTGTTTCTTGTTTTCACTTCAAAGTAAATCACAATGCCTGACAAACAGCGGGGTCGAAATTATAAAAATATTATAGCTTAGTAAGATGCACGACCCTAGAGACTAAAGAAAGCTTACGAAATATTACCGTTTATAATAACTCCTTAGAAAGGGAATCAGACAGGGATGCACATCAACATCATTAAAGACAGTTCAACTGTAGGGATAGATATACAGGGGCAAAAGATTAGTATACTTAGATTTGCAGATGATATAGCAGTATTAGCATCTAACAAGGAGGAGTTAAAGATATCTTTAAATAAAATGGAAGCGGTATTGACAAAGCAGTATTGTATGAAATTAAGTAAAAGTAAAACAAAACTACTGGTATGCACGGCATGAAAAAGTAGGGAAAGAACGAATATAAAGATAAGAGACGAAAAATTGACTGATGATACCTAGGAAGTCAGATAATTCAGGACCGAAGGAATACTAGTGATATACAGCAGATGATATTTTAGAATTATTTAGAATTTCGAAAAATTCGAAAAATTGTTAAAGGTGTATGTTTGGAATGTGGCGCTGTAAGGGTGCGAAACATGGACGCTGCACGCGGCGGAAAAGAAAAGGGTACAGGCGAATGATAAGGATACCGTGGATAGAGAGAGTTAGAAATGAAGAGGTATTAAAAAGAATAAGAGAACATGGAAGCCAATAAGAAAATAGGCGAGGCAGAGATGTATTAGAGGCAGAAACAGGAGTTAAGAGCAGTAGAGGTAGACCTAAATTAGATTACTGATCGCAAATATTGAAGGATGCAGTTGTTCTGGTTATGGAGAAATGCGAAGATTAGGTTAGGATAGGAAAGAGTGAAGGTGCGTGTCCAACAAGTCTTAGGACTGACTACCTTATGATGATGAAAATAACTTCTGCGAAACCTACTTATTATTGGACAAATATTTGGCGCAGATCTACATATGCTACCAATTTAGCCATAGGCTTATACTCTTATAAGAAGTAAAATTTTAAAGTTCTATTTGACTTTTATTAATCCTGGGGTCTGACTATGAAAGCTTTATGGTTTCGGGGTAGCTAAATCCAAATCCACGATCAGTTTAATCCCAGGACGTCATGGTTTCGACAAAACTCCACATAGCACCCCAAAACCTTCTAAAACCGTTAATCATGATAATCCCAAACATAAACCAGTAACCAAAATCCACTCATCCACTAATGTATAACTTTATATAACCTTTTAAACCCCTAACTCTAAGACCGTGTGACCCCATACCCCCAATCCCCATAATTAAAATAATGAAACAGTATCGGTCAATCATGAACTCTATATAATCCTGTATAATTGTCAGAAATGACAGTACCCTACGTACACTGCGAGGAGATAACTTTAATTTTGAGAAATCTACGTTACAAATGGCTTAGAAATTAAGAAATAGTGTTTTATATTTTGGTTAAGGGGATGTAGGATTATGGAGACATACGATTTTAGGGTTAGGAATGTAAAGGAATATGAAGCTATACAGTTAGTGGAAGGGTTGATTAGTTACGGATTTTAAGTTTACATAGTCAGAGGGGAAGACAGTTAGAGATGTAGTTTTCAGGAATGTAAAGATCGATTGAAAATAGGAAGAATTGGGAACACGTTACTATAATAATGAGACTAGTTGTAGTTCTGGTCTCTTCAACAATGAACGGATTTAAATGCGTTCGTTATAAAGTGATACGATAAATTATTTATTAAAGGCGTGTTGATGTAGGTAAACCTCGTTTCCGCTTTTATCCCCAAATCCTAGGTATTGTAGAGATGCTCGCAATTTCATACAAACTTTTTAATTTGTTTATCTCCCGGATTTCGTCATCTTATTAAAGTTGAAATGGAATTTGTGGAGAAGGAGAAAAGTCACCTTGGTCTATTGTGTAAATTCGCTCGGCTTCAACTTAAACGGTTTATTCTTTTTTGGGGCGGAATGTAATTGAAATGTAAAGATTCGTTTGACATCACTTAAAAAGGAGTTTTTAGTTGATTAGAACCGATGTGATGGAAATTTCGCTCGAGAAGCGCGGAACGATATGGTTCGTTAAACAAAAAGGATATTTCAATAAAGAAACAAGGCTTTCAGAAGAAAAAAAATAATGAAATTTCTACTCCTTACCTCTCTGATATAATAATCAAATATTCCTTTAATACTATGTTCACTTCACAACTCATATAACAGCGACAACTTGCGCTTAAAGAACTAGATGGATATGTGTGAACTGCTTTGCACAAAGGATTAAGTGCAGGTCTATGTTAGTGACATGCACTCTCAAGCAAGGGTTAGGTACGATTATGGTAGAGAAAGGTATCCCTGATTGAAGCGGGTGAAGTGCTATACACCAAACACTTAGGTTAGGTTATGGTGGAATAGGACTTTCCTGGTCTTACTTTATCTAGTACAGTTCCAGTGTTGTGACTAAGGATCTTTGATTCGAACCGAGCGGATCTCCGTACAATATCATCAACATATATATATATATATATATATATATATATATTGTAGAAAACAAAGTGAGATAATTTTTATTCGAATTGCAATAAAAATTGGCGAACTAAAAGAGGCTTATGGAATTCAGGATTCTAGATTTATATTACGCCAACCTTGCTAATGCCAACATGACAGATTTGGTTTACATGTTATTGAATGCCTTCTCGGTAAAAAATACCCTAGCTGCAAATTAGTTGGTTATAGAAAAGAAAAATCACGACTCTAATGCTAATTCGTCCTTCTAGATGAGCCTGAAATAAATAAAGGGGATACCTCTGAATAATACTTCATGGAACGTTTTCCGATTTCATGCCAAGGGCACTAAAGTTGACCAATTTTGAAAACTTCTTTAATTTGAAATATATAAAAAATCATCAACGTAGGGTCGTCAGTCTTAAAACTGGTTGAACACGCACCTCCACTTTTTCCTATCCTGAGATAATCTTTGCATTTCTCTAAAACTCGAACAACCCGCATCCTTAATTATTTGCGAACATTCTAATCTAGGTCTACCTCTACATTTTTTTAACTCCTGTTTCTGCCTCTAGTATGTCTCTGACTAGACCTTCATGCCTGAGAAGGTGTCCTACCAACCTATCTCGTCTATTTTTTATTGACCTGAGTGTCCTCTGTTCTCCTATTCTTTCTAATACCTCTTCATTTCTAACCTTCTCTATCAACGGTATCCTCATCATTCGCCTGTAACACCACATTTCAAACGCTTTTAACCTTTCATTTTCCGCCGCGCCCACCGTCCATATTTCGCACCCGTACAGCGCCACGCCCCAGACATCGTCGTTAACAATCTTTTTCGAATGTAAGCGATAAAGATAGTTTATTCGTTGACGAAATAAATTGTATTATCAAAGCATAAGTAAATATTAAATGTATGCACGTATCCACATTTGCAGAAATAAAACTCCGTTTGTGTCTCTTTTATGTATTTATAATTTGATTATTTTCAAAAGTTGACATAACACGTATAGTCGACATTCATTAGCAGCTACTTTTTTTCTTGTTTGCTTTAATTGATACGTATAAAATTACGCTCTCGAATCAAGCACTTAAAGATGTATAAAAAAAGGTTCCTTCTAAGATGGCGAATGAAGGATTTAATAGAGGCAACGTTCTTTCGATAAATCTCAAAAACACCTTACTTGCCAATATCAAATGAAACTGTAAGACACAGAGTAACGTTCACGGCACGTTTTTCCTCTTCAACGAAGAAGTATTTTTCTTATTTTGCAGCACTATGTAAATATTTTCGTTCTATATGGATAAACTAATACGCTATTGGGACTATTAATCATCATTGTCTTAATAAAACTAAATTTTAATATTTTTCATCATCATCGTCATAAGGTCGTCAGTCATAAGACTGGTTGGGCACGTACCTCTTGCCTATCCTGAGCTAATTTTCGCATTTTCTTGGAACTAGAACAG